TTTTTTTTTTTTAAGAAACGCCCCCTGGACTGTTAGTGGTGCTGATACGAGCAGGCACCACTAGCATCCGGGGAGAGGCTCCGTCTATTGGTGGGGAGCAACACCTGCTGGAAAGCGGGTCCAGCGTCCCATATACAGTAATGATGAATATAAGCAGAACAAAGGAGAAGCCTGCCAGCATTGATTGCTCTGTTAGTGAGGGTGTATGAGTAATTGTCAGAGTGAATGTGTGTGGGACCCTGTGGGTGTATTCAGGGAGATCCAGAGTGAGCGTGTGCGAACAGTGGGGTTGGACACCGTGACGAGAGTTGTTCTGTGTAGGCGCTAACGCGCCATAGCTTGTTGAAGCGAGTTTTTCATCTGAACTGTGTTCTCGACTTCCATATCTCTGAGCTTTGAGTGGGCGCTCTGTGCCAGTGTGCATCGTCAACTGTTTGCCTGTATGTAAACAGGAAAGGAAAGCGAGTCTGATTGCACCACCAAAAAAAAAAAAAAAAAAGCATTGTGTTCGTGCCTTACACGGCAACATTGCTTTTTTTCGTTTTTTTTAAATGCTCTATTTTCCGTTGATGTTCGTCCTATCACTTCGTACCTTCATTGTGAGAAGAACGATCTGACTGACGGGAACCCACTGCGGTGCAATCACTTTCTTCTGAGCAGCTGCCCCTCCTGAAGCCCCCGCAGTTGCCAGCGCACGATCAAACTTCACAGCGGTCTGGTGGTGAAACAGGGACACACGAAGTCGTCAAAAGAGGCCAGGAAAAAAAAAAGAAAAAAGGAACAAGAAGAAGAAGAAGAAGAAGAAGAAAACTTAGAAAAGAAAAGAAAAGAAAAAAAAAGAAAAGAAAAGAAAAGAAAAGAAAAAGGTGGACAAACCTCCCGCAGATTAGACAGATTCTGTTTTGTTTTTTTTGGGTTTTTTTTTTTTTTTTTTTTTTTTTTTTAAGGATGAAAAAATGACTGTGGAGTTTGCCATCATTGAATACCCTGAAAACCAGGGTGACTGACTGAGCAGGCCCTTTGTAACCTCCAGCGGTGTAGTCTTATATAAGCATGCAGAGCAGCCAATGTCCTTGGTATCTCTTCACCCTTATAAGAAGGGCGTCAGATAGGCAGCAAGGGACTGATACTATTCAGAGGAACTGCTCACTCCACCATGCCCAGTTACTGCAGAATACTCGAAAAGACAGCTTTGACTACCCCAACAGATTGTAAAAAGATCAGACACTTGAGACTTTTTGAGAGGGAAAGGTGGATGTGGAATTTTCGAGTGAATCAAATCGCTGATGAGAGAGAAAGAAAGAAGGTTAAATATCCTGAGAAGAAAGCAATCAACGGTGCTGTCTCGGGTCCTTCATCCATAATGGAAGGAAGCATGAAGTGGGTCTTCTACTATAACACCTACAGTTTGGAGCGGGTCTTGCAAGACGCTCCCTGGTGGGCCCAAAATGTCCCAGCGTTGTCCCGTTTGGCAGTGGGTCTTTTATGTCAGGGACGCTGGACCCGGTTTCCAGCAAAAAAAAGTTTTGGCATTTACCAAATTACCAAACCGCCCTCAGATCCGACACTCGCAAAATTTCATGACAGACCAGCACGTTATGACCATGGCAACGATCCGGACGTCCGGACCGCCGTCCAGACGGTCCGGATTCGGTGCGGACTCCTGACGTCCGGTCCAGACGGTCCGGATCTGCCAAATTTCGAGGAAAAAAAAAGAAAAAACGGTCCAGGACCCTTCCCCATTGAGGAGCCAAGCCCCCAAAATTGTTTTGGGGGTTTTTCAGGCCCGTTTATGCTTTTTTGGGGGGTCCGGACATGCTCTCTCTCTATAATAATTTATTAGACAACCCCAAGTTTTTTATTATGAATAATTCATTACCTTTTATTCGTTTTTTTAACTTTTTAAAGTCTTTTTTTAAGCTTTTTATAGTTTTTGACTTTTAACTCAAGTTTGGTTAGGAATTCTGACATGACTCTGAGGCAAAAGTGGTTTGCATTGTTATTCTGCATAACATACTTTTTTTTCAGATTTTTTTTTTTTTTTTTCTAATGGTCCGGACATTTCCAGACCTGTCCAGACCTCCGGACCGTCCGGATCCCCCCATGTCCGGAGGTCCGGAAATGTCCGGAATTCCGGACGTCTGGAAAATACCGGACACGGGTCTGGTTCCATGTCCGGAAATGTCTGGGTCCGGGTCCGGCGTAGCCATGGTTATGACTGTACCTCTTTTTTTTTTTTTTTTTTCAATGACAACTGCCCGAGTTGGTGCTAGGGGTGCTGATAAGAGCAGGCACCGCTAGCACTCCCGGGGAGGCTCCATCTATTGGTGGGGACCACCACCCGCTGGAAAGCACGGGTCGAGCGTCCCTGAACATTACATGTCCCTGAACTCACCAGCAAGTTATGAGCATCATCACTACATTGCAAAGCCTCTTCTTTTCCGCTTCTTTTTTTTTTTTTTTTTTTCCCTAAAGAACACAAGCTCCAATCTATTTGTGGGGAGCAGCACTTGCTGAGAACCGGGCTCAGCGTCCCTTAGATGAGCATGAAACATAACAAAGAAAGCCATCCATGCTGGAAACCGGTCCAGAGTCCCAAGCCTGTGTCTGACTGAACCAAAAAACGGGAGTCTGCCTCTTCTTTGCCTCTTCTGAAAACCTTCTTTTTCCTACATTGGCCCCCTCCACTACAAACCCTCTTCTCTTCCCTTTTTTTTTTTTTTTTTTTTTTTTTTTTTTTCGAAACTCCTGCATCTACAGATAGGAGTGGTGATAAGAGCATACACTCCTACCTGTTTTGCAGAGTGCTCCATTCTATTGGTGGGGAGCTGCACCTGCTGGAAAACGGGTCCAGCGTGACAAAAGGTTAACCGACCCCCAAATTTTCACCCCCATTTATAAAAAAAAACAAAGGGTCATTTTAACCATTTGTGATATACATTAATTATGTCTTTTGTTAAACATCAATCATCAGGCCTTGCGCCCCTCATGAACTCTGCGACCCTCCCTTCCTAAAAGGATGAAAGGAGAAGGAAAAAGCCTTTTCAGTTCAAACGAACCGCCAGATCTATCCTTAACAAACTAGCATTCCTTCTCCTACCTCCTCCCCACCCCCTTAACAAACTAGCATTCCTTCTCCTACCTCCTTAACAAACTAGCATTCCTTCTCCTACCTCCGCCAGATCTATCCTTAACAAACTAGCATTTCCATCTCTGTTCATGTTTGACGATTGCAGGTTTTGCTCCCAACTCACAGAGGTACTGTCTTGGTTCCGAAAGAGAGAGAGAGAGAGAGAGAGAGAGAGAGAGAGAGAGAGAGAGAGAGAGAGAG